TTTATGAGGAACTCGCATTTTTCTGAGCAACCTACATTTTATCTGACAATTCTCAAAGGAAGCCCCCTGCTACAGGGTGTTGTCAGACAGGACGTGAGCGTTAGATACTGAAGATCTGTGGGTGACTGATGCGGGAGAGATGTTTACGTTCTCATTGTCGAGGGCATCACTTCTATCCTTCCTCCCTCTCTGCCTCTGTAGTGGCCATGACCAGAAAGCTTCTGTCATATCACCAGGATGAGGTCAGCCTCCTCTTGCCACCTTCTTAGCTGCTGACAACCGAAAGCAAAAGCATTAGTGGAGAGGCTTGAGCTGGAACAGCCAGCCTGAGGCAGTTACTAAACGGGACTGTGTATATGCAACATGCTGTGTCTATTCCTGCCTGTCTGCCCTCTGCTATGGGGGAATAGTGGGAATTAAGTACAACTCTATACACAACTTTTCATCAGCTCTATGCCTATGAGGGAAAAAGAAATGGAAAACAGAGCCTTTTCTCTTGAAGCGTATGTACAGATAGCTCCTGGGACAGCAAAGAGCTTAGACTTTTATTAACTCAGAATTGAACTTATCCCTGGTGGCCTTCCTCTGTTTTTGTGATGTGTGTGTGTGTCTCCAAGTTTGTGTGTGTCAACATTGCAGCGGATACTACCTGCCGTGAGAGCCATCTTATAGTCATGGAGAGAGGTGCATAGAGGACTCTGAAGGTCGTGAAAGGGACCGGTGGCGACTCACTTGGGGTTTGTGGCCATAGATGGAAGGAATCAAATTCATTTAAGTGTGCAGAGATAGAACACTGTGACACTGGCACTTGGGGCAGAACGGTGGAATAGTGTTGCTGAGTAGTTCTGGGCAAACGTCACAGCCCATGGCACAATGGGAGAAGGACTGACTTAAATATCATAGGGAAACTTGACTTTTCTTTTAACCCTTTAACTTTATCTGAGCCACGGTTCCACACAGAAATGAAATGTAGACTACAGTCTTGTTCAGTGATTTTAATAATTTAATGATTTAATGTTTGAAAATGCCAACAAATAGCAAACATTCTGTATTTGCCACCCCAGTGTCTCCTGAACATCTCTGCTATGAATCCTCATGGTGTGTTGTAATTATGTCCTCGAAGTGGCTGCTTCCATGGGACTATGTGTCAAGCGCCATTTCCTACCTCTTTCCGTCTGTCTTCCCGCATTAAACACGGTAGAGGTTTGCTGAGCTCTGTATACATCAACACTTAGGTTTTGCTGAGATGGGGGTAGCTTCTAGTCTTCTATCTTCATCTCATCCTCCCCCCTTCTATCATTTCTACCGAGGACATCCTGTGATAAGGAGTTCCTTTTGGGTACCACGTCTTAGGACTATGTTATAAGAGCCTCATCAGACTCTAGATGATGGACGATATGTTCCCAGATGTTCTAGCTGCTCAGACATACCTATGTCTGAGTACCATCCCAGTTTTGCTAGTCTAATCTTCTCACCAGTGAGTTCTGGGATACCTGTGGCCCCTATAAGTTATTGATTTCTGCAAATGTGTTATAATTTTTTATCAGTGAAGATTAGGTTCAGACCATCAAGCTGTTATTAAGTTTTTATTGTAAGCTGTGAGGATAGGTTTGAGGGTACAGGTATCTCTGAAGTTGACTCTGTCAGGAGCACAGAGGACTCTATTAGGTACCCCAGGCCTGGGGAGGGGTGGATGAGAATGTCAAACTCCTCTAAGGTGTAGTGATGCCTTGATGGAGATGGGAACAGGGATTAATGGTAACACAGAGTAGGACCCTTTTCCTCAATGAACTTTGCACTCTGTGAATCTCATTGCTTCTAGCAGGTGGCTTGGGGAGCCAAGTTATAGCTCCTGTCCTCGGGGGCTTTCTGAATAATAGAAATTTAAGAAGCAACCAATGGCTACCTATATTTTAAAAGCTCTGTTACTAATATTCCTGCACTGGAAGAAAAAAATTTTCTAAGCAACAAAACAGCTTGAGAACATGGGTTGGGTGAGGTTCTGCTTGTTTGTTTGCAGTGGGAAATTAATTCAGTCAAGAGCACCCTTGATGGTGCGAGAGTGAAAAACACGTCTTATGGATGACCATGTGATCCCCCTGGAATAAATAACACATTCTTTCCTCTGTCTTTCACGCTAGCTTTCCTCATATGCCTTTTTCCACGTGAGCTTGCCTGCATGCTTCCCTGACACTTGCGTCTCCGTTAGCTTTTATTTCTTATTTTCCTCCTTGTCTGCATCTCCACGTTTTTACGACTTCTCTTTGGAGTCCCACTCTCCTGTCTTCCTACCACGTTTTCCGCTGTATGTTTGTGCCCTCTTGTAGCACTGACTCCTGCCTCCACCTCCATGTTCTAAAGCCTACCTGTCACACCCAGGCCCGGGGAGGAAAATTTCACTTCCAGCAGTTCTTTGTGCGATGTGAAAGAACATCTGAGTGTCTGGGTATCCTAGGAAACCGAACTCTGGTTTCTGAGCCGAGTGGATTCCTCACACTGTGTTTGTGAGACACAGGGAAAGGAGAGGCTCACACCTGGGCAGCCGAGAGGCTCAGTGTTGCCTCCAGCCTTTGTTCAGGGGGAAGCAGAACAATGGCCCTGTTTTCCTTCTGTCTCTATCCCGTTACCTAGCCTTGAAGTTTCTTTCTTTTTCTCTTTTTCCCCCTTTTGTCTATTTCTGTCATATTCTTCAGTTCCATTTTCTAGATTTCTCTTTGTTCTTTTTCCTCTTTCGAAGTTACGCTGTCCCCTCCCCAGCGTCCTTCTTTGACTTTGTAAGCGAGAATCATGAGCAGTGTCTGGGATTCTGCTCATCCCTGGCTTTTCTTTTCAGAGGACGATATGGGGGTTGGGGTCAGGAAAGATGGAAACCACTGAGAAAGCTTGCCTGTGATGGGTTCTTCATGAGAGCAGGAGTACTTTGTTTTTTCTTTTGAGATTATGTGAGCACAGATTGCATGATATTATTTTTTTGCTTTGGCATGTGTTTTGTATGTATGTGTGTTTCTGCATGTAGGTAGGTGCCAACACAAGCCTTTATGCTGCTTGTATGTGGAAATCAGAGGACGACTCCCATGTGTTGGCCCCAAGGCATATTCTACTCTTTGTTTGAGACAGGCTGGTGACCCTGGGATTTTAGGAACCCACCTATTTTCTGCCTTCCATCTGGCACTCTCCAGACTTGCAGGTGTGTCTTACCATGCCTGGCTTTATAATGACGTGCGCTTGGAGGAGTGGAACTTAGGTTCTTATATTTGCAACCTAAGTATTTTAGAAACTGCACTATCTCCCCTAGTCCAAAGTATAAAAGCTGAAATCTAAAAATTATCTCCACCACTCATCCCAATTGCCTAAATCCAGTGGGGGCTTCCTCTTCCTGTCCTAATGTGAGCTGTGCAGCTTCAAATGCTTGACTCCTGCTAAGGTCAGGGGTGTTCCACCACACGGAGGAAAGCCTGTGGAGTTGGTAGGCAGCCCTGTGTTCACAGCCATCTCTGTGTCTGTCGTCCTGGATTGGCATTCTCAGTACCTGTTGATCCGGCATCTGCTTCCTGGAGCCGTAAGGCCTTTCATATGGCTCTCTTTGCCTACATTTGAAATCTTGCAGAGAGCCTCCGCAAAGAATAGTTAAATCAGCCATTCTTGCTACTATGCCGTTTTCCAAATGAGTCATTTCCCAGTGCTTCTGAATAGAGGGGCTAATCTGGGAGAGGTTGTGAGGGATAAAAGTTATTAGCCCACGAAACAAAGAATAAGCTGGCAAATTTAAGTCAATATTATTGATCTTATGTCTGAAACAAGGTCAATTTTGCGCTTTATAGTTTCCAGTACATTTAAAAAAAAAAAACATAGTTTCTCACTGTGTGGCCTAGTCTGATCTTGAACTTGCAGTTCTCTTGGCTCAGTTTTTTTTTTGGTTTTTCGAGACAGGGTTTCTCTGTGGCTTTGGAGCCTGTCCTGGCACTAGCTCTGTAGACCAGGCTGGTCTCGAACTCACAGAGATCCGCCTGCCTCTGCCTCCCGAGTGCTGGGATTAAAGGCGTGCACCACCATTGCCCGGCGTGGCTCAGTTTTATAGGTGCGGTCATTACAGGCATGCATCACCATGCTTGGCCCAGAACATTTTTCATCTTCAACATGTTGTGATTTTGTGTCTAAAACTAGGTCACCGTACTCCTCTATTTTATAGATGGAAAAAAAGACACCTGGAGCTTGAGTGACTTGTATCACATGGCTAGTTCTCTGGGCCAAGACTTAAACCTAATCCCACTAATGCCTAGTCATCAGCTTTACCACTCACAAACTTACGTGTGCCCTTGTCCCCACAAGGCACCAGCATTGCCACTGGGTTATATGCAATGAATTGTCTCATTGATACTTGCTCTACACAGTCTAATAGTATTTGTGTGGATTTGTGTATGTGTGTATGTGTATGCTTCTGGGTATGACTGTAGAAGGTGGGAAAATGAAAGCAAGGAAACCCAGTCCAGGTCAAAGAATGGTTTAGGGGCAATTATAAAACATATTAATAGTGCATAATGACATAGGTATATAGCTCCCAGTCATTAAAGTCAGTATAATTTATTTATTTGGTAACAATTCTGAGTGTCAAGGAGGAGAATAAGTTACTTCTTCCCTGAAGTTAATAAAGAGGACAGGAGACGGGAGAAAGGGAAGGAATTTTGCGAGGGGCAGAGGAAAGTGAGGGACCAGGTTTGGCTCAGGTGTGGGTCTTATGTTGGAGACGGTGCATTCTGCTCATGGTTTGGGACAAGGATGCCAGTATGATGGTAACTTCTCTGCACAGTGAAACCCGGATGGCTATATTTAATTCCACTCGACACCACTGGTGATTCAGCCAGGCTCAGGTGCGCCCACATGCAGCTGGCACTAGCTTTGTGTACTTTCCAGGCAGAGCCTGCTCAGCCCAGCCTCCCCATGAAGCAGGAGGGGCCAGACAGGCTGTGGTAACCTTGACTCTTTTGTGTCTCTGCCCACAGCATCCTGGCCACTGCGGGAACCCACTTCAACACCCATGTGGACTTGCGGACCCTCCGTGCCGTGCGTGTCCTGAGGCCTTTAAAGCTCGTGTCAGGAATACCTAGTGAGCACCCACTCTCTTCTTTCTGATTGTCTAGTATCCTCAGTTGGATCCAGAATGTCTGTCAATATAAGATAGACAAGAGTCTTTCTGGAAGGAAGCCCTGGACATACAGCAATTGTGCAAAGCATTGTACTTAAAAATTTAACATTTCCTCATATTTAAATAATAATGGAAGATTTTTTTAAAAAAAAAAAGTCAGGAAACAACCGAAAAGTAAATGAAGACCATTTCTTATTGTATCACTCTGAAATAGATGTTAATTTGATGTATTTTCCCTATGCATTTTAGTATAATTATAATTATTGTATGTGTGTAGTTTTATCTGCTGAAATAAGTGTGTTACTTTCCTAAGGTTAAAAATTCTTAGACGTGTTGCCAAAGGCTATTTGTTGCTGATTAGAGTTGTACTTCTTCCCCACTTGGCAGAGAGCTGGGTCTGAGAAAGAGTAATAGAAAGGTTCAACTTTATCCCTATTTTGTAGGATTTGTACCCTAGCAGGGGTTGCCCAAATGTTCTTTGAACAAGAAACATGGACTAATTAATTTAATCTGTGAAGGGGATCTACCAGAAGGGTAATATGTAGGCAGGAGTGAGGAGGAAGGAAAGGGAAGGGACATAGGAGGTGACAGTCTTCAGCTTGACTTGTCTTGGTTATCGCTTTATGAATGGCAGCTGTCATCTCAGGATTGATGGTTCCCTTTCCATGGAAGACTTGCCCTCCGAGGAGAGGGTAAAGAAATCTACCTTGTCAGAGGGCCATGAATGAGGGCTCTGTTTCATCCCCTTTCCTCTCCATAGGCCTGCAGATTGTGTTGAAGTCCATCATGAAGGCCATGGTGCCTCTTCTGCAGATTGGCCTTCTGCTCTTCTTTGCCATCCTCATGTTCGCCATCATTGGCTTGGAGTTCTACAGTGGCAAGTTACATCGAGCATGCTTCATGAACAATTCAGGTAAGGGCTTTGTTTTCTGTCTTCTGTTTTCCCACTTCCCCTGTTTGGTCATGAGCGTAATTTCAGGGCATTTGGAGCCGCGCTGAAAAAGTATACTCTATTCCAACCCTAGAATTACAATCAGAAACTTCCTAGACTCTGTGGCCTTTTGAGGTACAATCAGCCTAAAGATCCGCGTGACAGTTACATTGCAAAACACATAGCCTCCTTGTGTGTAGTTGGAAGGGTTCTAAGAGGTGGTCTCAGCTTTTCAGATTCATGGCAGAGGGCTTTTAGAATATATACCAAAGCCATCAGTCTGGATCAATGCTCTGGAGAACAGAATCTTTGATCCACAGACCAGTGGGACCCTGGAGACCAGAATCAGATGAGGGTCCCAGTGGATCAGCAAAGAGCTTTCTTCTGTGCTCTGGCTCACTTTGGTCTCCCCTCTCTGTGAAAGAACTGAGGGAGCACTGAGGTTGGCTTGTCAGTTGTGCCTTGACAATTGTGGGATGCATATAACCCCATTTCCCATATATTTGTGCCTTATTTGTTCTTCACAAGCCAAATAATATACTCTAGGAAGAAAATCAGGGAGGGAGTTGGGCGATGAAGGATAAGTTAACGAATCCTAAATAGGTACCATGTTTTTATGAAAATAATCTCCAAATAATTTTTTTACCTTCAGTTTAAAACCAAAAATGTATACCTGAAAAGCAAAATAAAGTTAGCAAAATAAAGCAGCCATTGGTTTTACAACTGTCCCGGAGAAACCTAGGGAGAACCAAGGTCCATCCTGATTCTTTGGGTTGGAAAATCAGAGAGATTTTGCTGTTACCTCAGGCTCTTCTGTGTGAAGCAGCCCCGTGAATTTCTGTGGTAGTGCAGCCCGAAGAAAAATTTGGTTGGGATCTGAAGAAGATAGAGGCCCTGCTTTTCTCCAGAAGCATTTTGAATTGCACAAGGGTGTGAACTGAGAGGAGTAGAGAGGCCAGGCTGGGAGAGGGCTTGAGGCATGATGGGACAGTTTCTGTCTGTGGTGGGAGAACGGCTTGCTTGTGTCTTCTAGGATCATTTCCAGTTCATGCTAAGCACCATATGGTTTGTCTCCCACTCTCCAAATATATCCACAGGTATTCTAGAGGGATTTGATCCTCCCCACCCGTGTGGTGTGCAGGGCTGCCCAGCTGGTTACGAATGCAAGGACTGGATCGGCCCCAATGACGGGATCACCCAGTTTGACAACATCCTTTTTGCTGTGCTGACTGTCTTCCAATGCATCACGATGGAAGGGTGGACCACTGTGCTGTACAATGTAAGTGAGCCGGTGGATGGAAGGGGCGGGGTGTGGGATACGGTGGAACCCTGGTGCTATTTTGGTTCCTCTGGAACAGGAAAAGTTGGGGTTGTCTGTATTCAACTTGGAAACTTAGCAGAGCCTAGCGGGTCGTGTCCCCCCCCCTTTTATTTATTTTTTTTTTTTGATGAGTGGAAGTATCTGTCTTATTGCATCTGGTAGACTGCATTCTGTCATTCTGTCCCTGGGTGAATGAACAAGTCAAATCAGATTACCTTGTTGTGGAGGGTTTTGGATCCGCATGGTGTAGTGGAGTACAGTGAGGTGTTCTAATAGGTGCAAGGCTCTCAGTTACTGTCCCCGAAGGGCTCACCATCAGTTTGGAAAGCTGTTCTAGTGGTTTGCAACCCCAGTGGCCCATTAGAGTCAGCTGGGAGCTTTAAATATTATACTGCCTGGGCTTCACTCCAGGCCAATTAAGTAGGAATGTCTAGGGGTAAAGGCCTGTCATTGACATTTTTTAAAGCTTCCTAGCTGATTTTAATATGCAGCCACTGTCAAGAACGACTGCATTACATGCCAGAGAAAGCATGCTGAGTGTGAGGCTCATTAGAAAGCTCTCTGAAAATCCGCGCTCCTAGGCCCCTGCCCTGGAGATTCTGACTTTGGGTAGCTCTGTATCATGGGTGAGCTGTGCTTTTGACGGAGGCCTCAGTGATTCCCATGGTCAGACACATTGGGAGGTCCTGAGTTGGTGTAGGAGACACAACTGTTCAGCTGCCTGGGAGGAAAGCTGGGACTACCGGCAAGGAGACGGAAGCTAGACAAAGCAACCATGCTGTCTCTTCTGCCTTGCAGAGTCTGGTTTTAATAAGTCACCCGAGACATAGGACAGAGCACACGTTCAATAGTGAGCTTGGAGGAGAGGTATATTTTTTGATGTTTATGGGATATAAGTGGGCAGAGGGGGCAAAGCAATATGGGAAGGCACTTATGAAGGATGGTGTCCTCTGTCTGTGTCTTTGCCTTCAGCCATTGTTGGACAAGTCAGACACATTTGGAGTGATGATCCCATGCATGCACACTCCTTTCACTTGCCTTTATCACAAGGGTCCCCCATTCCCTTCTGTTCTTCTCTTAATCTTAATCTGGTCCTACATGTACAAAACTGATTAGGTGGCCAAAATGTGACTTATATGGAAAGCAGTCATTGGGAGATAAGGGAAGGAACAAAGCTGGTACGAGGCCTGTACATGCAGGTGCTTAGGAACTGAATGACCATTGTAGTCAAACCCCTTGATGCTTAGGTTCCAATCTATGGATGCTACCATCTAAGGATGTAAAATTTTCTACAACACGTTAGGTTATTTAGGTCTAGGATGGCAGCACCCAGACTGAACATCTATAGACAATTTTGTCTTTGTCATTATCTCCTGAACTTTACAATACAGATATTTCCATATCATTTGCATTTGTATTAGACATTTTAAGTAACAGATAAATTATTTAAAGCCGTGGGAAGTTGGAAACAGTTATATGCAAATACTGTGCCATATATGGGACTTGAGAAACCTCACATTTTGGTATCCATGGGAGGTCCGTACACCTATGTTCTGCAGACACCAAGGAATGACTGAACTAATTTGGATCTATTCCCATACAGGATGAGCAAGATACAACTGAGAAATTTAGCAAGAAAGAGTTATAGGCTGTTGTGCTAACATTGCAGACGGTAGGATAGAGGTCTCCAAAACCAGGAGATAGATGTTCAGCAAGTTACAGGGTGCTGTGACCCAGAAACCCCCAGATGATACTCTGGGATCCTTATTAGCTATGGGAGGCTGCAGGGCACAGGAGTCAAGCATGGTAAAGATAGTCACTTCTCATCCGAGAGGTAAAGACTGCCTTCAGGCAATGCCACTAAGATTAGCCAGAACCTCAAGAAATTTTGTAGCACTGACCTTGTAGTGGCTGGTGTCACTTGTGGCGTGGGGCTTTGAAAGTGATGAACTTCAATTAGATGTGTAGACTCACCTAAGTGATGTGATAAATGCATGGAAAGCCCCAAAGGAGAGGTGTTGCATTTGAGGATAGAGGTGTGATCTGCCATGCCTCTGGTCAAGGATCAGGTGGTGCCGAGACAGGCAGGAGGGAAACAGATGAGCCTCTCGTCGTTCTTGCGTTAATTCATTTGCTCATTCATTATTTATTTCTACTCATCTGTTGAAATAAGGAGCTGCGGTGGGGCTGCGTCCCCAACACCCGGCCTTGGCTAGCTTATGCCCGAAATAACAACACACAAACTGTATTCATTTAAAGAACTGCTTGGCCCATGAACTCTAGCCCTTACAGGCCAATTCTCGCACCTGGACTAGCCCATTTCTAATGATGTGTGTAAGCACCCCAAGGTGCGCTTACCGGGAAGATTCTAGCCTAAGTCCATCGTGGGTTGCAGCTGCCTGGGAGAGCAGAGCATGGCGGCTGTCCAGTCCCTCTGGAAGCAGCGCAGAGTCTGACCTCACTTCCTCTTCCGCCCAGAATTCTATTCTGTTTACTCCTCCCATCTATGTTCTAACCTATCAGGGCCAGCCAAGCAGTTTCTTTTATTGCTCAGCCAATGAAATCAACAGATTGATATGACACTCCCACATCACTCATCAACTGAGAAGATACTCTGTATCCAAGCACTGTGCTAAAACACTAGAAAGATGGCGGTCGGGGTGGGGGAGGGGCATGATCCCTGCTGTCATTATTTTCTCTTCCAATTCCCATCTCTCCAGATATTGGTCAGTTGTAGCGACAGAGGCTACACAAAGCAACAGTGCTCTTGCTCTACCCTGGCGTTTTGATCCATGAAAGAATCGGGGAGGAAAAGGGGTCAACTACAGATCCCCTGAAGCCTTTCATCACAGCAGTTCCCAGGGCTGTAGACTCACACCCTCTCTGAAGTCCAATCTGGTAGTCATGGAACTGAAGCCTCCTGCTAGCCTTGTTGCTTGGCTCTAGGCATAGGGGAACCGGTGGGACAATAGGGTTGGTTCCTCCAAAATAATCTGGCTACACACAGGCAGAAAGAACTCTGTGTACTCTGAAAAACATCACTTCCCCAAGCACTGGAGCTAGGAGCAGGGCATGGAGCCAGGCATCACTGGCAGAAGTGATAGTCAGACTGGGGTGGATAGCTGCATCTTGACTCAGGAGACCTTAGATGAAAATGGCACTCAGTCTTCAGTGAGTGGAACAAAGACAAAGTCTGGATTCTCTGAAAGAACCATCAAAACTGACCTCATCTGGGCAAGGACCTGGGGTGTGAACAAGGCCGAGGCAGAGCTGTGACGAGGAGATGGGCAGCCCTAGCTGACTTAGGCCTCCTGTGCCCAAACTGAACTAGTCATCCTCCAAAGAAAAGGGGTTTGGGACAAGAGCGGAGATGGTGTAGACAAATATATCCGCCAGTCCTTTCCGCGTGCTTGTTCTCCTCAACAGCCCTCTTGTCAGGGAAACGTGGAGACAAGCACCTAGAAATGGCAGAAAAGTTTCATGCTTGAGAGCTGTTTTTTTTTTTTTTTTTTTTTTTTTTTTTTAATCTTGGAAAACCAGTGAGGTTATTTGGGCTTCTTCTTGTAGGCCTGTGAGTGAGGAGTTATTTGTAAAAGAATGGGTGACTCAAGGCAGCTGTGCCACTGAAGAATCTGTCCCAGAAGGGGTGACAGTTCATGGAAACTGTATACCTCAAACTCTGACCAACTTGTAGACAGTGTGGCGGGCTGGACACTGTCCTTACTCTTCGTAGCGGTTGTTAATGAGCATATAACTTCAGAGAGAGAGAGAGAGAGAGCTTGTAGATCTTTTAAGTTTTGTTTATTTTGTGAGTGTTTAGATCCCCTTCCTCCCTCAAGAATTTTTTTCATGTGATTTAAACTTTGACATTGTGAATGCACACACGTGCAATTTATGCACCATGGAACTAAGAACAACTAATCAACTTAATATCGTAAATGCAAGTATGTGTGTCTTGATATGTTACACAGGAATCACTGCCTCCAATAAATACAGACATTAAGATGGTTTCCTTCTGTATTCGTCAGGGTTCTCTGGAAGAACAGTGTAACATGAATAATAAAAACCTAGAGATAGATGTTGGGGTTCAAGCTGAAGATCAGAAAAGCAAAATATTCAACCACTAGAGGCTTTCAGGCAAGCATTATGTATTAAAATACAAATAAATATTCCTGCAGAATAGAACTGATGGAAATGTAGGCGGAGGCTGCTAGTGTGGGACTATTTGATAGCCTCCATCTACATGGAATGAATGTCTATGAAGGGGCTTTATCAGAGTGGCGTACAGGCTGTGGTCAGCTAGTTCAACAGTGACTGTCTACCAGTGGAAAATCCAAGAATCCAGCAGTTGTTCAGTCCACAAGGCTGGCTGTCTCAACTGGTCTTCAGTAAACTCTGGAATCCCAAAGAAGTGGACTCTAATGCCAGTGAAGGAATGGACTCTCCACTTAGAGTGAGGGCAAGCAGGAAGAAAGCAAAAGCTTCCTTCTTCCATGTCCTCTATATACACTGCCACCAGAAAGTGTGGCCCAGATTAGCGGTGAATCTTCCTACATCAAAAGATCTGAATTAAAGGTGGGTCGTCCTGCTTCAGATAATTAAGAAAACCCCCTCGTAGGTGTATCCATCTCTTGGTTTTAGTTAATTCCGTGTGTAGTCAAATTGATAACCCAAAATAACCATCACAACTTCCTGTCACTTCTCATTCTGGGATGGTTCAGCTCTCCTAACTGATGCTTCCTCAGGCAGAACACTAAGACAAGGCAACCACTATCTACCAATTCTGCTGTCCCTTCTTTCCAACGATTGCAACAAGTATGCAAGACTAATTGGCCCTAGTTACATTCAGACTAGTAAGAGAGCCACTGCAAAACGTCCTCGAGCATGAGGACATTTAACCATTTTATCTAAAATGATATCCCAGTTTCCTCTCTATTGCTACAATAAGCATCATGACC